AATGAGAAATTTAATGGTTTCAATCTGCCCTTGTTTTTTCTTTTTCTTTTTATTTTTGCATGTTATCACTGTGCCCGTTTTTTGCTTTTATTCTTTGTTCCGCAAAGTGCGCTCTTTTAGTTTGTAGTGATGTGACAATATATCGCATAACATGCAAAAATAAAAATATATATATATATAATCAGTTAGGGGATTCTGCAGACTGTTGAGGGTTCAGCCTCCTGATGAGTCGGTGAAACTCCGACGAAACAGTTTGCCACAGCCCCTCGTTTGTTGTCCTCTTCTCCCTCTCTGCCTACGGTTTACCGGGCAGCTCTGTTTGACTATAGGAAAGCATATTTGGAATTACTAGATAGTCAAACAGAGCTGCCCGGTAAACCGTAGGCAGAGAGGGAGAAGAGGACAACAAATGAGGGGCTGTGGCAAACTGTTTCGTCGGAGTTTCACCGACTCATCAGGAGGCTGAACCCTCAACAGTCTGCAGAATCCCCTAACTGATTACACTGTAAGTGATAATCCACCTTAACCCCGGCTGTGGTTAAGCATCGACGACTGCCCGACAACTGACACCCTGAGGTGGGCACCAACCACTGCCCTCAAGTTACCTGTGGCAAAAGTCAAAGCAGACTATCACTCACCCACACCAGATGGAAAACTCTACAGACTGTCGGCTCACACCCCATCTCAAGCAAGCAAGACACCCACGAAACAAAGAAAGGTCTGTCACAGCCAAAAAATACACTCCAGACACGCCGCTGGCACTAGAGGCACAGCATGGCCTATGTATATATTTTCATTCAGTGTGACAATATATATATTATTGCCTTTCTGTGCTCTCCCAGAGGACCCCAAACCCGGGCTCTTTTGATTTTTTTGAGAGTTGGCTGTCAAGGGGGGAGAAGGGGGGTATAAATTTGTTTTAAAGGGGCTTAGTGTGATTTTGTTATTTTCTTTTTTATCTCCGATCCGGTGAGGAATTCTGATGTGACCCTCAGCCAAAAGTTGTTTGTATTGCAATTCTACACAACATTCATTTTTTTCTGGAATTTTTTGACTTTCCTGTTTTTTTTTTTTGTTTTTTTTTTTGTGTGTGTGCTGGGGCTGCCCAGAACCCTGCCCGGAACCCTGCCCAGGGGTCATGCCCGGCCGGGCACCCGGGCGTGTATCCGGGTACAAGTTGGGTGCCCGGACGGCCCGAAAAACAGCCTAGCTCATTTCTTTTTTGAAGTTTTTGTCCGTTTGATTCCATCAGCTGCATGTGTGTGAGCCATTCAGACACGTGGGCTGGGCTTACCGCAGCCTTTTTTTTGCGGGGCAACTGTCCCACTAGCAAAGAGGATTGGATTAAGCGCCTGAATCTGGACGTTTTTTTAGCAAAGAGGATTGGACTCAGGCGTTCAATCCGATCCTCTTGGCCAGTCGGACCTCGCGGCGGAAGAGGCTCTCCACAAAAAAGTTGCGTTTTTCAAAATTTGAAAGGAAAGGTTCAACGTGAGATGAACTAACAGGTGGGCGGACGAGCCTTTGTCCGGATTGGCACAAGTGCTGCGGCGAGTGCTGTGCGTGCTGGAGTAAATTTTTAAAGGATGACGACCTCCAGAACTAAACATTGAACTGACCTGCCCGATGTAATTCAGAATCATTTTTGATTCTGTTCATCTGGTTGCATCTGAATTCGAACTCGGGTCTGTGTTTCGACAGTTCACGGGTGTACGAACTGGCTACCGGTAGGCTCGTTGGGGCCGGACTCTGCACGTACTGGGATAGTAACTCTCTCCCGAGCCGCCTCACAGAGCGCCTCTCTCACCCCTGCACGTACTGGGACTACGCTCACAAGCTTCGGCTATGGCGGCCATCTCCCCACTCAGTAGTCACGGGTCTGAGGAGCTTTGAGCATTTCTTCTTTTGTTTTCTTTTAGCACTAAGAAAATCGACCATTTCTCGATTTTCTGTTTCGAGTGGCTCCTGGCGGACTCTACGAACCCTCTGTTTTCCTTTGTTTTGAAATTCTTTCTTTCTTTCTTTCTTGCTTTCTTTCTTGCTTTCTTTCTTGCTTTTTTTTTTTTTTTTCCCTTCCCAATTGTGGTTGAAGAGTTTCACAAGATGGTACTGATATTTTCTTTTTCGGTTAAAAAGTTTCACAAGTATTCTTTTTGTCCCCCCCCGGCCCCCCCCCTCTCCTTCTTCCGAATCGTGGTTGAAAAGTTTTCACAAGATTGTACTGGTATTGTCTTTTGGTTGGTGTGTGGACTTGAAGGACGTTTTTGACATCCGTCATCTCTCGTTTTCACTCTGTTTCCCCTCCAACAAGTGTGTGTTCTTTTGCCCTCTTCAAAGCTTGGACCGAACACTTACCAGTAACTGACCGGCTAAATCATAGATCATGCCATTGTTGATCGGAGGTAGTTTTTCGTTGTTGATCCTATGCAGCAAATTATAAATACATGCTGATTCTGCTGTGCGACAGAGATCTATCTATTCTTCTCACTCTCGTTCTTTTCTCTTTTGTCTGTGCGACAGAGTCTTCTTCTCTGGAGACTGCAGTTGCAGCAGGAGCTAGTGGAGCTGAGGGACTTCCTCTGCCTGAAGAGGCAAACGGAGAAGAACGAATGCAAAGGAGCACTTCTGCCACCGTTTCGTGCAGCGTGTCCTCTGGCAAGGGATACTGCGGATAGGACGAACCCCCCTCTCTTTCATGCGATTCCTAATTATAAAGGCGATGACTTCTCTAGAGAAGGGAGTGCTTCGCCAATCGCAGGGACAATGCGGCGGCCGGATGGTCACGACGCCCGGATGTGTGATCAGAATGCTGTGGTGCGTATGTCAGAAGCAGAAGATGTGTCGTCGAACCAGCTCGCCGAAGTTCAGCGATGGCAGCAACAGCAGGGCATTGTCCACGGTGGTGGTCCTGGTGATCCCAGTGGTGTGGGTTCTGGTTCAACCAGAGTGCACGGAGGGGAGGCATTAGACACTGTGCTCGATCGTGGATTGGCAGGTGGCGGGATGAACAGTAGAGGACGTGACTTGTCAAAACGTGGGCGGCTGCAGAGAAGAAAGAAACCAGCGGAGGAGGTAGTGGGAACGAGAACAGGTGTTGGCCAAGTCGGCAAGGAAGCTAAGGTATCAGATGACAGAAGTCAGGTCATCAGAGCTCAAGTGGGCGATGAACGCAGGGTTGTCGGCGGAGAATCACTCATAGTGCGTGGGTGGACGGAGTCTCCATCACCCGGGGAGGAAACAATGGGTAGCGTTGGTTTCGCATGCGTGAATGATCCGCAAGAGAGAAGAGAGGAGGGGGAGGGCTTCGGTGCTACTTTGGCGAAAGGATGCAGCACGGGTGTCCCCAAGAAGAAGAGGCGAAGTAAGCGGGGCCGAAGAGTCTGGAACGTGGAGAGGGAGAGGGGCGTTTGCACGACACCGGCAGACGAGCCCGAAGCTGAAGGTGGAGTAGACCGTAAAAGACAATGTGTTGAGGGAAAAAGGGGAAAGAAAGGGCTGCCCGTGGAGGAAGGAGGGAAAGAGTCAGAACAAGGGGAGGGGCGTGAAACTGGACAAGCGGCCGCAAATGAGGGCACTGAAGGACAGAAATCGTCCGAGGAGCAGTTGGGGATGAGAGGAACATCTGGCATTGTTGCCTGTTTCACACACGAGGATCGTCTGGACACGGCGACCCGGAAATTGCACATGTACACCTCAAATGGCCACGAGTCTCCACCTCAAGTGGATGGACCCGTTGCAGAGCCTCTGTCAATTTTCTCTACGGACACTTCTATCACCTCTGCTCATAGGACTGCATCCCACGAGACCTTGGCCAAGGGAGAAGTGGTGGAACCGACAGAAAAGAAAATGGCACGTGACGCGGAAGGTAGAGGCAGCGGTGAGGAGGTCGCAGATCGAGATCCAGAGTTAGAGGATTCACAGGATGAGATTGTGCCGGAGACTCCGGAAAAGGACTACGACAGTCGTAAGGAAAGAGTCAGATTGGGTTTGAGCAGGAGGAGGGGCAGAGCGGGATCAAGCACGGGCTTGGACCTGCTTGCAAGTAATGGGCCTGGCAATTCCCAGAGACAGCTATTCTTCTCAAGCTACTATGAACAACAGGACCAAGAGGAGGGGAAGCAGGAGCCGATCGGGCAAGAAAGAATGCGCGAACGGACCGGAAAAGAGTGTTGGCCCAAGGATGCCTTGGATGGCCATGCAGCAGCGGCTGTCGATTATGGATCTAAGGACAGTAATCTCGTTGCCTGTAGGGGCAATCTAGGAGGTCGGTCGGATTTCTGCAAGTCGAAGGCCTCCAAGGATGGAAGGACAAGTCATCCTTCTGTGCTTGGTGGTGATGGCAAAGGCAAAGCGAATGCGACCTTGCATATTGCAGAATGCCAAGAGCTTTTGAAACAACGAACCGGCAATAGAGTTGTGTACAGGAGTCTTGAAGACAAGGATTTGGATGTCGTTTCCTCATGCATGAATGCGGATGTGAATGCTGGGCAGGTTCGGGAAGTTGAGTGTGTCTCTGTGACTAACGGTAGTGATGAGAAGGAAGGTAGTTATGGACAACAAGGAAAACAGCCGAGTGGTTGCAGCATTGCCGCCCCCAACCAAATATCTGCGACAGCCGGGCGTGGGGGTGGTGAAGACCTCGGCGATCGAATTGAGAAAGACGAGGTCCTCGATGGAGAAGGAGAATCGGGCAGTCGGCAAGAACAGCGAGACGCAGCTAGAGGTCTGAGGCAAGCTGAGGCAGCTCTAGCACAGGGGAGGAATGTGGGAGATGAAGTCTTGATGGTCCTGTCCGGCAGAGATCGGTCAGGAAACTCCACGGAGAAATACGCACGAGCAGTTCCGGTGCTGACAGGAGAGGCATTATTATTTGGTTCCAGTTATGGGAAGCCTGATCATGCTGCAGAGGAGTGTGGTGCAACTTGTGCTGGTGGTTCTAGCAAAAGTGAAGCAGACGAGGAGAGAGAAGGAGATGCTTGCACCGAGCAGGGGGTTGTGGTTGCAAGGGGAGAGCACGGGTGGAATCATCAGAATGCTCAAGATGGTCACAGACATGTGGGGGGGGCAGATGCCAACACGAGGGGAATGTGTGTCAGCAATCCTTGTGAGCCTGAAGGGGCTGGCGGGGCACTACCGGTGGGGTGTAGAGAGGAGTGGGGTGGCGAACGGGAAGAGGGAGCGGATGTGGCTGAGGAAAGAGATGGGATGCGGCTGAGTTCGAGCCTGCCGTGCACGCACAAGGGGCGATGCCGGTGGCATCGCAGTGCCAGAGTGGGAAAGGGCAGGGGAGGAAGAGTACCAACTGCGTCTGGTGGGATAAGTCCTCAGAACCGCTCACAGCTGCACGTCAAACGGAGGCACAGCGGTGCTCAATATGGCAGGAACGACCTCAGCAGGTGGAAGAGGTCGCGTAGACAATCTCCAGAAGGAATTCCGCACGAACTGGATCTTGCGGAAGATAGCAAGGTATTGAGCAGAGAGGAGGCACGGCGCGCCGCTGGAGGAGCGGCGGGGGACTCTGTAAAGGAGTTGGGAGAGAGGGATGGTCAAGTAATACCCTTGGCTGAATCGATATGCATTGAAGCCTCCACTCCAGATGCGGAGATAGAAACGCAGCCGACACAGCACCAAGGTGGAACAGACAGTCTGCTGATCCCTATGGCGATGAATCATCGGTCTGGTAGTCATGTCGGTGGAGATGAATCCGAACACAGAAAGTCAGCTCAATGTCTGCACCGCCGACGCAAGGACTCGTGTTTGGATGTCACTGCAGATCAACCTGACGTTCCCGTGGAACTGCAACTAGATGGTGGAATCGTGGAAAGATGTGGGAGGAAGGAGGTGAATGGTGCAGCGAGTTGTCACGAGGATAAAGGCATGGCAGTAATGTCACATGTTTGTGGCTTGGGGGTTTGCGAGGAGGATGGCAGCTCAAGGCAGGTGGATCGGGAGACGGACGCTGCACGTCTGGATAGAACTGACATAGCCATTGCCGTGGGTGAGTTGCAGGCTTGTCAGTCAGTGCCCGCGCCTCCTCCATCGCATCATAACGAGAGTGACACCTGGTTGGGATCTAAGATGCAATCCGTTCTTGAGGCTTCTGTACATGGGGGTGTTGAAAGCAACAACTGTCCACCTGTGGAACAAATTGAGGGGTGCAGCGCATTCTGGCCCTTGTTCTGCCTTGATACCCCAGGCCGGGTCATCGCGTTGGTGCTGCATGCGATACCTGGGGTGAAGGCCATGTTGGGTGTATGCTGTGAGGTGGAGAAGAGCGGCGTGGGAATTGTGATGATGGTATTTGAACTGGCAGAGGAATGGATGACAAGCTCAGGGAAACAACTGGACAGCACTCCATCTCTCGTACAGTGTTTGAGGCTCAAAGAAATGGATAGAGTATTGGCCGATGGTGGAGATCAGGTAAACAGGCAGTGAGCCAAACACTCACCTCCATGATGAAAGAGCTCTCTACTTCTGATCTCTATCTTGCAGCTCGATGTCCCACCTGTTCTGCTTCCATGAACTGTCAATCGGCTGTGACTGGCATTGATCAGGTATATTAATTAGGGTTGCATTATTATGGAGGAGTGTATTCTGTGAGTTGGTGGTTCAAAGTTATTGACTACCTACTTTGTAATTAATGATGATAATTGATAATTAATGATAATAATTGATAATTAATATAGTAATTGCCATGTTAAACCACCAGTCCGTCGGAGCCTCTTCTGCCCAGCCTAAAAAAACGGAACTGGCATGGGTGGCATCAGTCATTTCCGTTGGATAGGCCTGAACCTTGTGGCACGTTATAATAATATAATTGGTAAATTTAACTACATCAATTGGTTCAACGACAAATAGCAATTAATAATAAATAAATGGCAAAGTACACTACTTTATTAGTGCCTACATCTTGCGGGGGGGAGGGGTCTGATGTGGACCGCTTCTTACTTTGTGCGTCTGTCATCCTTGAATGCTCAGGGACCATGCGAATCTTTGCGTATGGTTAATGGATGTCCTCAACCGAAGCTTCACGGATTCAGGGACCAAAGCCTGAATCTGCCAGCTCATAATGCTGTTCAACTGGCTTAAACAACCAGCACCTATCCCAGCTATTATGCCCGCACCTGCCGGTTAGCGCGGCGCTGTGGAAAGGCTTGGCCTACCAGACCGAAATGGTTGGCGGTGACCATGATGGTTCCGAATGTGAGGGGTGGGGGTCCGAAATCGGGCTGTGGGAAAAAGAGGCTGGAGGGAGGTATTGGTTTTCAGTTTAATGAGCTCAAGTCACCTTTAAACCCTACTGAATACCCCCCTTCCCCCCCTACAAGGCATTCTACCCATGCCGTATTCAAATACAAAGCCTGGGCATTCTGTTCTGATATGGCGTCTGGTCGTTATATGCGGAGGGCCGCCATATTTGAAAGGAAGTGGGTAAAACAAAAAAATCTGACTTTTTTAGGGTAAGTTGAGTATAACGCCCGGGTGGGGTGTTATTTTGAGGTGAAGGCCATTAAGTGTTACCGTGAGTGAATAGTTCACAGCAAGGACTACTTGTCCTGAGGTTCAAAGATCAAGTCCTGACTACCCTCTTCACCTGAATAGAACGCCCGGTCATTATCACTGCATCTGGACTCAAAGTTGGGCCGAATGCAGCTATAATGACCGGGCGTTCTATTCGGGTGAAGACGGTAGTAGGATAGTGCTATGAGTTGCTGCCTTTTTTGAAGTTCTTTCAACGTTTTGGAACGTTATTCTAACTGGGAAAAAGTTAGAATTCTAAAATAGACCCCTAAAAAAACTTACACTGAGTTCCTTGCTACGCAATTTTCATTCTCATTCGTTGGATGCCGAGTCAGAAGAATGGTTCAGAATGGGCTGTCGACAGTTGCATGCAGGAGTACTTATGGGTCATACTTGCGGCGCACCTGTACGGTGTGTGGGGTGCAGTGTGCAGTGCACAGTGAGGTGTGCAGACAGGAAAAGACTCAAGTGTGACAGCTGTTTTCCTTTCCTTTTTTCCTTTCCTTTTTTCCTTTCCTTTTTTCCTTTTTCTTTTCTTAGTTAAAAAACTGTGCCAATTTTCTGTCTAAAATTGTGCCGTATGATTTTGTGAATGAATCTGACAACCCGACAGGCTGTTTTGTCCAACTTCTTAGGGCATCCTCACACCAGGACTATTCTCGATTGAGCCTGGTCTCTATTACGGCCATATACATGGGGGAATGTCCTGGTGTGATTATGCCCTCAGAAAATGGCGGGGCAACTGTTGATGTTGACAGTACGCCTTGCCAGATGATGTATGAGGGGTGGGGGGGGGAAGGGGGAGGGGGGAAGGGGCAGGGGCGAGGGGAAGCTAGGCATCCCTTGTACACGACGTACTCCAGCGTACAGCCCTTACAATGCGAACCCCGACTTCGTACGCGCACATACAACGTGCTTTTGGGTCCAAAAAAAAAGAACTTTTTTTTTGTTTTGGAGAGGGTCGGGGAGGCACGTGCGAGGACTGCCTGAGGTCCCCCAAACCCGGCGGGGTTGAAAAAAGGCCCTCACACCCCCCTGATTACACCCTCCTTTTACTCAGCACCCGCTCAGCACAGCCCTTACACCCGACACCCCATAGCAACCCCCTTGTACCTCACCCCCTTACCACCCCCGTTATACCCCATACCCCTAAAATATAATTAACCCCCTTCCCCTCCCACCCCCTCCTCTAATACCCCATACCCATAAAATTTAACCCTACCCCCCCTTAAACCCACCAGCACACCCCTCCTAATACCCCGCTACACCCCTCTTATACCCCATTCCCCTAAAATTTAACCCCTTCCCCCCCCCCTTATACCCCTTACCAGTAGACTTGAATTAACCCCCCTACCCCCCCAAACCCCCCGTTATACAGCGCATATATCGACCATATACCCTACACCCCTTACGAGCCGGCCCCCCCCCCCCCCCCCCATTTTGTTTGAGGGCTGAGCCGGGGTTTTGCGGGTCTGGTAAAGGTACCCGCTAAACCCCGCCTTCGAACAAAATGGGGGGGTGTAGGGGAGCTCTCGTAAGGGGGGTTTAGATGAGGGGTGTGATGAGGGGTGTGATGAGGGGTGTGGGGTATACGACCGGTATAAGCGGGGGTATAAGGAGGGGTTTTAAGGGAGAGGAGGGGTGGGGGGGGGGTTGTTATAACTCTCAAATCTCTCTCGCTCTCTCTCTC